TATATATAAAGTTGTACCTTGACTTACAAGTATCCTGACTACTGAGTTTTTCAGGATACGAGCCATCTCTTGGCCAGTTATTTGCTTTGAGTTGAAAGCTAAAATTTGCGTTACGAACCAGCTTCAGACACCCCACCGCTAGTTGGTGCAGTGAATACCACAGTGACCAACCGCCACAACGTCCGCCCAGCATCCTGGGTCTCACTCGTTCACTTTAATTGGTAGCCTTTTCCTCCACCTCCGTCAGCATCTTCATGTCGCCGATTATTAAATAATCGCTGGACATTATATCGAATTAAACCAGTTTTATTGCAGTACATTCAATTGTATTGTGTTTTTAAACAGTAAGTGTAATTTATAAGTACATTTTTTATGTTTGAAAACATGTAATAAAAAAGTAGTGATTTTTAGGGGTTATGAACAGATTAATGGCATTTGTATTCATTTCTATGGGGAAAATTGGTTTGACATTTGAATTACAAAACTCCGTCACGGAAGGAATTAAACTCGTAAGTCAAGACACCTCAGTATTTATACATGCATATGTATATATAGCCTGCTCTATCTCACGCTCTGTCTCGCCATGACTCACACAAACCATAAACACGCGCGCAGCAATTGCGTGGTTTCACTTTTCCCAGCTTCTCTGACGCAGACGCGCACAGACAAACTTTCCAGCCCTCCGGTGTTGGCCAGAGTCCCTCTCCTCTTTCATGTTCCGGCAGCACCATCACCTAACTCAAGATAATCCAGTTTACATAATCCTGCTGCCTTTTGATATCAAGAAATCTCCTCGGGCCTGACCCTCGGGTCTGTTCACCACTTCACAGCCAGAGGCTTCTGTCTACCTGCACATTAGCACACGCTGTGCGCTTCGGCTCCGCTCCACCCATGTGACTCTCGCTACTCTCAACACCTCATAAATATCTGCAGAGTAAAGATAGCAGCGGCATAACAGAGGGAAAGGCACCTACTGTGTTGTTCGCAGGAAACAACGTGCTAATGGAGTCCCACAGAGGCCTCGTCTTGTCTTTTCCCTCTTAAGTGAGCATCAGGAGGCCTGGTGGACAGTGCTTGGAGAAGGTAATAGGGACATATTCCAAAGATCAGGGCGGGATTAGCACTAATGCCTGCCGGGTTTATCTGCAGTCACGTGGACAAACACCTGGCTGCAGTGTTGGTGGCAGAGCTCAGTCCTTGCTGTAAGTGTGTGTGTGAGTGCTAATCCATCTGACACCTCAAACTCGGGTTAGGCTGACACACGGAGCCCACCGAGGTAGAAGAGCCTCCTCTCTCTCTCTAAAGCCTGCCGCGAACGTCAGAACAATGAAGGAGCGAAGAGACGCGCCGCCTGACTCGGGTCTGTTGCGTTGGCACCGAGGAGGTTGCGACATAAAAGTGGATGGTCCGTGTCAGGACTGGCTGTTCTAAATGCAGCTCTGGTCCTAATGGGACAGAAAAAACATTTAGGTTAGAATGCGCTGTAATTTTGTTGGGCAGCCACATCAGTTGGCACGAGCTCTGTCACTCCAAAGCATAATTAAAACAAAGCCTGGTCCTTGTTAGCGAGAGCTGCTGCTCATTATCGAGAAAACAACATGTTTTGGTAACGTTGGAAATCCGTTTTTGTTTTGTTGGGGTTTTTTTTTCTAACACGCATTTTACAAATTCTGAACTTGATCCGGGTATCATTTTAATCTACTAGGTGTGCGAGTGGCTTTAATTTTCATGTTCAGTGGATAAACGCAGATTAATTTGGTGACCAACCACCTTGCACGGAAAAAAAGGAACTACTTAAATCTTTTTTGAGTGGTGCTGAGGTGTGAGGCAAACTAAAACGGCTCATTTGGTGCTCGGATCTACAGCATAAACTGAAACTCTTGCAGGAAACATAATTACAGATGAGACAGAAACAGAAGCTCGTTCCACCTTTATTTGTGGATTGATTTGATCTGCGCTACTTTCTACAGAAGAGTCCGTGAGCTGCTATTCTGGCTCTTAATCTGTCCACGCCAGATCCGCTTTTAGCACAACAGCATCGCCTCTAAACCCTCGTTAAACAGGTCGATGTTTCTGCCACAAAAGGTTGGTGGCCATCTGGCACACGCTGAATTCCACTTTCAAATGCAGGCGAGCACAAAGTACCGTCAGCTCTGTTCACCAGAAGTATATCATGATGCGCTGTAACATTAAGCGTAGTTGATCAAGCAATTAGCTCATTTATACTCAGAGCATTTAGAAATGAAGCTAGCTCTCCTTGCAGCAATGTAAATCACCCACCAACCTGTATGCTAAAGGATGCAGTAGCACTCCAGACGATGGGCTGGGTATGACTCTCGGTTACCACATCCCAATTTAGATCCCTCTACAGTCTCTCAGTTTGTTTGTTGCTACAGTTGATTTGCCGTGGCGGCCATCTTGAATTGGGTTGACTCAATCAAAGATTCATTTTCCATTTTCAAGTTTCCGTTAGAGCTCGAAGTCTCGTCCAGCATGACTCTCAGCGACTTCCACATAAATTTCAGCTCATTATTCAGAACTCTGATGAAGTTAAAGACATTTTTGTGTTGCATACATTTGATTTGAGTGGCGGCCATCTTGAATTGAATCAACTCGACCCAAGTTTCCCACAGAAGTCACCGCGTGATCTCTCAGAGCTCGACGTTTCGCTGAGGATGACTCAGGGCTACTCCCACATCTAACTTTGGCTCTGTGACTCTGACTGAATTACAGACATTTTTGTGTTGGCTACATTTGATGGGTTCTGGTGGCCATCTTGAATTGGTTAATCCCTTGTAGATGTTCATCCACTAATTTTTCTATGAGAGTTTCATGGTGGCAAGCCATAAAAAAAACTAAGTTTCTCTTGTTTATATGTGTGTTTACTGGTAGCTTTGTTCCTGTTTTGCATTGAGTACTGAAACTATAGCAAAACATTAGAACCACGTGTCTGTATGAGCAGCAACAGGGACTTATACATTTGACTGGGAAACCTAAATTCCGGGATTCACGGGGACAATAGTTTTGACACTTGGCATGCACGTAAACACTTTTACAAGACCATTACGCCCCTCCACATCAGCAGCTCAGTAATTAGTCTCACTAAAGCCACTTCAAATGGAGCTGAAAGAACACAACAAAGACTCCGAGGTGTTCCTCTGCTTATAAAGTTTACCAGACATGATCTGGTGGTATCTGAGGGAAACAAACAAAATCCACACAGACCCCATTTCCCACAATCCACAAGACCCAAAAGTTGTTTTACAGCTAATGTTGTGGTGTCAGATGCTCTGTATCCACATCCCGACTGGGTTTGATGGCAGAGCGAGGACCTCCTGAAGATCTGGTGAGTAATCAGCTGCTAGATTATGAGTTAGGTATTTTATAGAGAGATAGTGGGAAATTTGTATATGACAGAAAGAGAATAGGGAACCTCGCTCTGTAGTTTCCTGACTTAACAGGTTATGAAAGTGGCTCAATTGACCTCAGGCTTAACCTCGATCCGGCCCTTTGGGCCTCAGCTAGAAACATAATCTCTACATATGATAGGGGCTTAATGCGGAGGGGATCATCACTCTGAAAATTTAATCCAAGTGAGTTCTTACATTTCTAATAAATTATATCTTAATCCCCCCTAATAAAACTATCAGGGAGTGCAGCTCTGAAAAAAAAAGGCCATGAGGAGATGAAGTAAAAGAACTATCTGAAAACCTGTTTGACGTCTTAATGAAACAACTCCTGTTTAAAAAAACATGGAGAATATTTTGAAAGCAGTGATGCATGAAAATGAGGCGAACCACCACTTTGGAAGAGTGACATCATGTTCTTTCCTGACTTATCTTAAGATAATGTTTTTAATCCAATTTCTGTTTTGCTCCAACGTGATGCTGTGACCCTTTTATCACCGGTGAGAGCGGCGCCCTGCGAAACATTTCGTACCAGGCTTGCAGAGCCTTGCGCTGTCATGTGGCCCCAGCGAGGGCCGCTTGTTGATACAGATAAGCCAACGTGTGTTTTCTGCCACTCAGGGAGGCATCTCTGTCAGCAGCAACCTGACGCCTTCCCACATAAGCTGCCAGCTTAAACTAACAAAAGAAGATGCTCTGTCCTTACCGTTTGGCCGGCTAATCCAGACTTAGCTGCGTGGCGTCGTCTTCAGCTGACCTCCTCTGGCAAGTGCTGACTGGGTAAATCCATCATCACCATCATCATCACCATCGCCATCATCATCATCGCAGGTGAGGAGCAGAAGCAGGACTCCTGCTTTTTCCCATGAAAGCAAAACGATCACAACTTCCTCGCCCTGCGAGTACGGGAGATGTCCTGACTTGATTCAAGTCCAGGATGTTTTATTCTTCAACCAGGTTTACTCTTCCAAAGAATTCTTTCAGGTGGCAAAGATCAAAATCAACATTCCTCTCAATGTATGTCTGCACTCTGCGGCGCTCACTTTGATCCATTCAAATAAAAGGAAAAAAAAATTGAAAATTTGGATGACGACATCAAAAGTTCAGTTCAGGGGAAAAAAAGTTGTCAGAGAAGAACGGCGTCTCCACGCAGAACCTCTGCTCTTCTGTTTTTGCAGAAGGTTTAACCTAAAACAGAGGGAGAGAGAGAGAGGGAGAGCAAAGCTGAGGTGCAGTGGCATGCAATAAACAGATCTCACAGATGTCCTAACTTTTATCCCATCTGTTGTGAAAACTGACTTCCCCCCACTTCTCTCTCTTCAGAGAACTTGGTCTTCACAGAAGCAGCGTCCGATGGTTGGACAATGCACATCTCCTTACCCTCTTTTCTTTTCCCAGCAGCAGGTCTCTTGTCTTCAGCTCTCAGGAGGGCAACTTTGCGGGTCCAAGAGGATGGGGTTAGGGTGAGGAGGGAGAGCACAGTTACTGTAAGTGAAGCAGAGTGTTTCCTCCTGATGCCTCTGCCTCGCCTTCCCCCCTAAAACTCTTGCTCCTCCTCCTCCATAGTTGTTGCTTGTGGACCGAGTCGGATTACTCCTGATATGTTAATCTGCCTGGCCCTAACTCCAGGAGCACTAAAGGATGCTTTGGCCTCAGCAAGAGCTTACATTCACCTTCTGCCACGGGCACTTGGTAATAGCCTCAAATGGGCAAATCAGTGCAGTCAGAAGGGTCTGCTGAAGCAAGTGTTTTCCAATCTTTTTAGAGGAATTAGGAGGGTTCACAATTGGTTTAAATGGAGCTAAGTCAACATTAACCCCATTCAAATGGATTGATCAGAAAAGAGGTATTCCTTGATTCGATCTCCGGATTTGATGGGGATAAAACTATAGGGGCTGTTGAGGACCTTGCATTCCCCCTCATGTTTTAGCCCGTGAGCCCTCAAGCAGTAAATGAGGAGCAGATGGTTGCTCTTTTGCAAGATATCAGGCACTCCAGACCACAATCTAAATAAATATCTGCTTTCCCGGAGGGAATGTGTCAGGTGTTTGGGGTCAGAGATGTATAAACAGCAGGGTGACCGGTTTGAGGAAGGAGCAAACGGATGCACGAGTCCGTCGGAGGCACGAGGGAAGATGCACGGAACTCCACAGGTGGTGTTTGGGAGCAGAAACCCACCCCACTAAAACAACTTTACGACGTCGAGCCAAACAAAAACCGAAGCTCCGGGATCAGATCGGAAGCCAAAGATGGTGAAATAAATCAAATACTAGGCCAGAATCAAAACAGGAAACAAATATTTGCTAACAATTATCTTATTTTAAAATGTGCAGAGGTGCACCGGTACAAGCAGAGATCTGGCTCCATCTTAACCTTTAAAGATATAACATTTCATCAGAGTTGAGGGGTAAAAAAAAGAAAAAAAAAAACAGGAAATTCCAAAAGCTGTTTGTCATTTTAACTAAAGTACGTTTACACTTCTTTTCTCCAGGGTTTGATTATCTCCAATTGTCCGAAGAGCAACAATGCTCCAAAATGGACGCCGACAATTATGCAATTGTCATTAGCAGGTGCTGAATCACCTCAGTCCCACTTTTATATCGACTGAAAGCACAGACAAATGATCAAAACTAACCTTTTTTCTGACATCCAGGTCATTTTTAGGCCAGAGGAGCGTATATAAAGGCATAATGACTTCCAGTTAGCCATAAGAGGTTGCGCCTTTGCGGCCTTGAAAAGAAGCACAGAAACGTTTCCTGACATCAGGCCGGAACGTTTCGTCTCTATACATATTGCTCACAGATGTGTAGTTTTCGTAGCCCGGCTTTCACTGCTTTTTAAAGTTCAACAGCTGTTAATTGCAAAATCAAGTCAAAGAAAGACAAACATTTGATCTGTACACCGTAAAAAAAAATCTCACTCCGCAGCAAAGAAAACATTAGTCACCAAGACACTGACATTTAAACACACAAACCAGACCGAAAAAAGAAAGTGTGTTTCTGATCTTTATATGATTGAATTCCATGATCTATGATTGAAGCTTTTCCACGAGGGCGTGGAGGAGTGGAGAAACACATTTTGTTTAGGTTTGGGCAGGACTTTAAGGAAGCCCTCAATCAGTAACACTATAAACACACCATTCCAGTTGAGGTGTCATTAGGATGGCTGGAAATAAGGCACAAACTCTGCTGCGCTGCTCGTCTTGCACAATCTGTGGCTCGACGCTTGGACCTGCAGCCTGTTGCCAAATGTCATGTCACTGAGTGGAAAGCTGCTTTTCAGGGAATCCAGGTCTAAACAGGCATTTATGAGAAAAACGCAGGCCTTTTTTTCCCTGACTGTTTTATGTTGAAAGATTTTTTTTCTCTTTGTGTGTGTGTGTGTGTGTGGGGGGGGGGGGGGGGGGCAGAGAAAGTGGTAACAAGGTAACTTCATCCTGGCTGAGGAATAATTATACCGTTCAGTTTGAAGCTGTGACCAGAGGAGCCGAGGCAAAGTGGTTCAGACGCCACTAATGTTTAAAAAAAAAGGGCAGAAATGTCTCTCAGATGCTCCCTGCCTCAGCTCAGGATTTGTTCTTCTCCGTATTGTGCATTGTGTTTCAGTTTATTTGGTTTACAACTGAACTGCTTGGCATTTTGATTGAAAAAAATGTTAAAAATTCCTCCTGTGATCGCAGCTAAATGCTGCCCTCATCTGGCAGTGCTTCGCAACTACATGCAGCAATGACTGAACACTCAACAAATATGTTTTGTTGTTTTATTTAATGATAAAAAAATGAATGATTTTGTTCATTTTACAAACACAGTCCTTACATATATATTTCTGATTTTCAATCCTTGGGGGGTCCGATCACTCCCTTCTGTAATTAAACCCCCTGGTGCCATCAGGACCAGTGGGGTAACGCAGCACAGTTGTTATGAGACGTGGTGCGTTTGGGGGCTCAGCATTGTTGGAGCTTCCAGCGCCGGCAGCAGTTTTACGCTTGAGTACCCATGGACTCTGAGAGCTCCGTTTGAGGTGGTCTCCGGAGCCTGGGCTGGTCCTGTTGTACCTCTGTTTCAGTCGACGGAAAGACTGGCTGCTGCAGCTGGTGGTCCATCCCTGGCATACCTCAGGAGCAAAGGTTTCAGAGCTTTCTTCAGTAGCTTTAACAAGTGAAGAAGCTTCAAGTTGAAGCAGAACTTTGGGGATTTCCATTGGATCCTCCTCTGGTTGGTTTCTGGGTTTCTCCTCTGATGAGTCGGACTTGGTGCCGCTCTGCGTCGACTTCCATCCCATGGCCATTACACGCAAGCCCTCCTTGCTCACTTTTTCTTCCTCTTTAAGAGCGTCAAAGGCGCTTCGAACTGCCTGGAAGTGACTGAACTTCACCACAACACACAGGCGCTGGCCGATCTCTCTGTGGCGTTGGGTGTAACACTGAAGCACTTTGGGGACTTCTTCTCCAGGATGCAGGATCCAGATGGAGCGAACGCTGTCGGGAACGGTGAACTTTTCCAGGGCCTTCAGCACGAGCGATGGATTCTCGTTGTCATACTTGTTCCAGAGCAGGAGCAGCCTGCTGGTGGGGGAATCCATCAGCCACTGTGGGAGAGGCTCTTTGCGTCTGACTTTGGAGCATTCATCGTTCACCTCCAGAAGGTCCGAGCAGTTGGCAGCTGCCAGAGTCATGTACCAGTCTGAGGTCAGGGCCTTGATCTGCAGCAAACACGGGACACACACAACATGCTCAGTGTTTTCATTCAAATGGTTTCAGAAAGAAAAACTGTAAGAAACTACAGGAGTTGGACAATGAAAGTCAACACCTGTTTTTAAACCATAACATCTCTTTCAGACAGCTTCCTCTTGTGTCCACATTTAATCCTGTTGGATGTGGTTCGTCCTTCTTGGTCAAATGCTGACATTACCCTGGACACAGTGGCTCTTGATGCATCACAAAGACTTGCTGTATTGGTCACAGATGCACCAGCAAGACGTGCACCAACACTTTGTCCTCTTTTAAACTCTGGTATGTCACCCATAATGCTGTGTGCGTTGCAATATTTTGAGCCAAACTGTGTTCTTACCCTGCTAATTGAACCTTCACACTCTGCTCTTACTGGTGCAATGTGCAATTAATAAAGACTGACCAGGCTGGTCCAATTTAGCCATGAAACCTCCCACACTAAAATGACAGGTGTTTTAGTTTCATTGTCTAACGCCTGTATATTTACCTTTTTCAAACTGGTGACGAGCCTCAGGCTGACGTAACCCTGCTTGTTCCTCTGTATGTGCTTCAGCAGGAAGCCGTCCTCTGCCAGGTGACCGTCGGAGAACATCTCCTCCAGGAGGGTCTTAATGTTCAGGAGGAGCGCCTCACTTTCACGCTCGTCTTCATTTGCAGTAGACTCTGCATCTTTTCTACAAAAAAACACGAGGCAGCGTTACGATACACGTAGAGGCCAGCAGTGTTGGCTAAGCGGGCACGCGTTTTGAATTTCCTTACCTCTTCAGATCACTCATGGTGATACAGGATAAACGCTGTGCTGCTCAGTTTGGCTGTTTCAAAGTAAAAAAGGCTTTTGCATGTAACTACCAGGACAGGATAAAGTTAAGAAGAAAGGAGGAAAAGAATGAACATTCAAACAAACGCAATGTTGTTTGTTTTTCTGTATCCAAAACATTTTGTAAAATGCCAACGCTAAAATTCCATCCATACAATGAAGCTTCCACAATGAGAACCTGCAGTCAGAACCATTAGCTCTGCTGTAAATGAGCTCCATGCAAGCCACGCTATTAGCTTTTATAAACAGAATATTATTAGAGCTAAAAACTAAGCTGCAATCTGCACAGCAGAGATAACGGCGGCGTGTCAACACACAGGAGCTGTGACACTACTGTAGGTGTGAATTTCTGCAGCGCAGTTCAGAGCCAAGTGCACAATCGAATCAGAAACACGACGCCGCTCAACTCCAACACGCTTTATGAATATTACAGAGCAGCGTTTAGGTGTGAAGCTGCCACAAAGGCTCTCCTTTAAATCCAGCTTTACATTCTCCCCGTGCTCTGACGTCTTCAGATCAGTCACCCCCAGTCAGCGGGTCGCTGCTGCGGCCCGCCGACACCGACAAAACCATCACTTCCACCAGATGGGTTTTCTTTTTGTTTTGATCAAACTCTTATTTGGGACACAGATATGATGTTCCACAGATTCAGGACATCCTCATCCTATTCAGTGTCATCAGGAACACTTTTAGGTTTTTTTTTTTAATTATTAGAGCTTCAAATCTGTTTCAATCAGAACTACATCCATTAAAAGTTTGGGCAGGTTTACATGATGCCATTTTAAGACCAACACAATCCCTATGAGCTTCTATGAGGCAAAACCTCGAATAAAACTTTCAGAATCAACATTTACCATTTTCACCGAAATAATAAAACTGTTTTCCACATTGTGTGTTTTTGGTGCTAAATAATCTTTTGAAACACTGGAAACCTGTGTCTATAATTAATCCTTTTTTTAAGCCAACCTGTATCAAGATAAGTCAAGATGGCTGCCACAGCCAACAGGTTTCAAAACACACCAAATGGCTAGACCTCATTTAATTTGAGACACTGTGTTAGCTGAGGTTCACCGGGTGGGCGCACGTCTAAAACTCTGGCATGAAAGGCGGCGGGTGACATGCACTTTTAAGGAATGCTTTGGTATTTGGCAGTGGTGGGAACAGTTTCCCTAAAGCACTAATAGTGGAACTAATTTCTTGATTAGTACTTTAGGTCTTTTGCTATTTTTTTTAAATTCATTAGTGGATTAGCACTTGCTAAATTTATGGGCTAAATTTAGAAGCACTAACTGAGGTTTTTAAATGTTATTGATCAACATTATTGTTCACAGTTGAGGGTGAAAGCTGTCACACATTTTGTTCATACGTGTCACTTATCTACAAGGTTACATGTCAAACTTAAGGTCCGCGGGCCAAATGTGGCCTGTGGGTGACTCCCATTTGGCCCACCAAGGGCACTAAGTGACAATATTCTGCACACAGTAAATCTTGTCTCATGTTGACTCTGAAGAATGTTTCATGTGTCAACTGGATTATATTAGTGCTTTAGAATTAGCTTTTGCAAAATTTTTCAGTGTGTTAGTGCTTTAGAATTAGGGGACCTAAATATTTGAGTTAGTGCTTTAGGGTTAGGGGACCTAAATATTTGAGTTAGTGCTTCAGAATTAGGGGACCTAAATATTTGAGTTAGTGCTTTAGGGTTAGTGCAACTAATATTTAGATTAGTGCTGCCCACCGCTGGTATTTGGTACATTTGTTCTCTAAACATTTGGACTTTTTAACCTTTAGATCTGCTTGTTCATTTCTTTAAACCAAAATCTGTTTAGACTTTAAGTTTGTTGAAACACAAAAATATTTAATAGTAAAAATCNTCTTTGTAGAGATAATCAGCATAAAAAATCACATATTTAGAAATAGCAACATAAACACCACCATGGCAACTGAGGAACTTCCATCTGTTGTCTGCATCTTTATGTTGTTTTGTCCAGAATGATTTCAAATTGGGAAAAAAACAACTAAAACTCAGTTTTTGAGAAGCAGAAAAAAAAACATTTGTTAGTGTTTTTGGAAACATTTTTAAAAAATTGTGTCTTTTTGAAACAGAAAACTCATTTGCATCAGAACAATTTGTTGTTGTTTAGCGCTTCCATGGTAACAGAAGCGAACAATTCAAACTTTATCGTCAGATTCAGGTTCCCATCCAGCTCTCATCGGTGCGTGGAAATAAATAACGTCTTTTTTTCCCCCCTTTCCTGGAGAGTCTGGACCACTTTAGAGCGATGAGGAGAAAAAGAGACAGAAACACAAATTACGCCATCTCTAATGTGCAATTACACCAAACACATCAACAGAGCAAACTCTGCTCTGCTGCAGCCGACTGAGGTGTAGCTGAAAGACCCAGAGAGAAGTCGCTAAAAGGGTTTGTGTTGAGACGTTTTTGTTTTACTTTTCTAAAAAAAAAATTGGATTTCTCAGAAAGGACTTTTTTTTCTAAAAAAAAGACAAAACAAAAGAAAAACAGGATGGAACAGATCTGTCTTTGAATTCCTTCCTATATGACAGCAACACTTTCTAAATCAGTAGCAGCTTTTAGAAACAAGAGAATAAATGATAAATGAAGACACTTTCTTGGCATTTTTCATCTGAAAGGCAAAAAAAAAATGATGTGATGATAAACGAGGGAGAACGTAATGCTATGCATATAACTACTGTTCCCTGAAGGAAAGGAACGAGGTACAACACATCTGGGGGCGTGGTTTCCCATACTTATGTGTCGTACCGAGTGAATCGACCGAAAGGGAACTCACTGTGTCAAGAACCTAATCCACATAAAGCATCACGAGCCAGACCTTCATACAAAACCCAAATATTTAACTTTATTAACATCGACGGTTTTCTTTTTCATCACCAGATGATTTCTGAAGTTCCAGTTCTTTATCAACAAATAGAAAACAGACTGTGTGTACAACAGATTGAACCCCTACAGCACTAAAGCATTCACAAGGTAAAAATGAACATGTTTCGTTTTTTGCCGGTGTTTTTAAGCCCCTCCCCCGCCTCCGTCCGCCGTCCTTCCTCCCACCGGCGGCGATCAGACGCTCCCCTCCTGCCGTCCGTGTGGTGGAGAGGGTGTGTGTGTGCTTTCCCAGTGAGGAGTTGTTCGTTTTGATGGATGGGTTGGTGGTGGGGGCGAAGGAGAAGGGGGGGGGGGGTTGTGCTGTTTTTTTTCCTCATGTGGAACACCAGCTGTTGAAGTTACGATGGTATTACAGTAGATACAACGGTGTCTCCATTAATACACACTCTAGGACAGCAGGCTCTCTGCAGCGTCTCTAGGTAGATCAGCAGAATTAATCCTTTTTAACAATATATTTTTGAAGCTGTGAATATATTTATGTGTAATCATACATATATATAATCAGTCATAATTATATATATATTTATAGTTCTATTTCTGTATAAAATAACATCAGGTTTGAGTCCAAAGAGTCTCTGTCCCTCTGGTTAGGAATGGTTGATTCTGTACAGGTACCGACATGGATGGCTCTGCTCCTCGGCCCAGGTCCGCTCCGTCCCGCTCCAGCCAAGCGAGGAGACGGGAGCGACTTGAAGAGCATCTTTACTCAGAGATGGGGAGGTTTTATTATTTTTCTTTTTTTTTTCCTGTTGCTTACCCTTTGGGTATAAAAGTCTGTTTTCTTCAGGTAAGTTCTCCGCTGTGGAGCAATGAAGGCCTCAATGCCATAGGCTTCTGATCAAAAACAACATAAAAAACCCCCCCACAAAAGAACAACAACAAAATAATAATACATAGAAATAATGTGCTTTCCATTTCTGTGCACGTTTTGTTAGGTAATTCACTTGTGTTTTTCCAGCTATCTACTGCGATTACAGAGGGACGACTACAAGAAGTCTGTAAAAATCAATTTCCTCAAAGCTGATTTTCTTTTAAAACTCGGTAAGTGAAAAGGCAATTCGAGTTACTGAACTGACTACGACCATATAGAACATAAATCGAATTTTGAAAAAAAAAAAAAAAACAAACAAAACGAAATCTGACAGCAGCTCAGAGAACAGTGGTCCTCTTGTATTAGTATATAAGAACATGTTAAAAACACATGTCCCGTGTGCTAACGTACCCTAAGAGTGATTATGAAAATAACGCATGCCCCAAGAGTCTGAGCCGTTTAAGACAGAAGAAATGTCTGATATTAAAACGATTAACAAGAGCAACATAAAAAGTATACTAAACAATAACCTGACAAAATAAATCGGAAAATATTGACAATAAAATTAATACCAATAATAAACGAGGAAACAGAGAGGGTGCTCTCAGTGCTACCAGTAGCCTTTGACAATCAGGGAGGTTTGGCTTCGACGGAGCAGAGAGGCGGGCTGCCGCTCTGCGCCGTCGGCCCCGTCCAAGAGCTGCTGCGTCTGTCCTAGTCTCTGTAGTGTTTCTGTCGTTAAAGCCAAATCTCAGGTGGATGGTGAACTCGGCGTGTGTCTCTTGTGATTGGTTGAGGACCCTCGACGGGTCGGCGAGCTCGTCCCTTTCGTCACCCCCCTCCGGTAGCTGCAGGAAGGGTGGAGTTTGAAGGGGTCAAAGTGAGTGGATGGCGGCTGAAATGGGGACACTTGGCACACTCCTGAGAGGTCTGACCGGGGGAGGGGGAAGCTGCTTCAGAGGGGAGTGGTTACGTTGCATAGTGGTCAAAGCTGCCCAGGTACTCCAGCGCTGCCCTGTAGCACAGCTGGTACTGGTCCTGAAGAGGAGACGGAGGCCGTTAGAAACTCATCATTCTTTGTAAACGAATGCTGAATCAGCATTACCATGGAGATCTACAGAAATATATGAAGATCTCTGCGCATTCTTTAGAAACATCGCCTGCTACATAATGTATTCATCATGTATTTGACAAAAACCTGAGATAAAACCAGTTTCCATCCGACTTTCTATTAAAGAGGGATTTGTTGCTAAATTTTTTGTTTCTGCTGAGCCCACCTAAGAAGGGGACACTTTGGTCAGCCCCGGTCTTAAATCAAATCCCTGGCTTTAAAGCAGCACAGTGTGTGCGACAGGTTTATACCTCGGTCTGCACCATGGCAGGCCGCTGGGTGCGGAGCGTCTTCACCGTCTGGAAGATGTCGACCACACCTTCGTACCTCATCCTCTCCAGCACGATGCTGAGGGTGATGAAGACTCCGGTCCTGCCTACCCCGGCACTGTGAAATAAACACATATTCATTATTGCATCTAAGGGGAAAAGGGAATCTCCCGGGTGATTGATGATCGAAGCTGCTCTGGAGGCAAAAAAGCCTTAAAAAAACAACCTCGTTCATTTGAACGTTATTACTTTTTGGTTTAGTGAACCTTTCGGGTGAAACACTGCAGGTAAAACAGTTATAGGAAATAAAACTCGCATCTAAATGATAAAGCGTTTACAACTTTCTATAGAAGACTGTATTGTGGTTAATGAGGAGGCTGGAAGAGTTTTTACTGTAATGAATAATAAATCAACAGCTCGTTTCAGGGAGAAATGTCAGCTGGGATTGGTTCTGGCTCAGAACAACGTCCACGTTTGTTGCTTTGTTTTCTTTGTCACGTTCATTTTCTCACACCGCCCAAAAAATCATTCAATCCTCGTCCGATAATCTCATTGCACGCCGTCTGAGTCAAACGGCTCACACTCCCTTTCTGTAGATTTCACTCTAACTCTTTTATTTGAGGCGCTCCTTTATGTCGCTCTCCTCCTGGTTTGGATCGCTCGCTTTGTTCTGCCGTCGTCATCACAGAACCCGTTTTCTCCACTCATGCAGGACTCTGGTGGTCCTGGGATGTTAGTTATTTTCTCAGTTTAGATGCCAACATGTCTGTTTTTATCCGTCTGCATCTTAAGGATCTCTCATCCTTGAAATTAACAGCCACAAATTAGTTCCTACTTTAATACTTTGCTGTCTTGAAAACAACTTGAAATGTACCATTATGGCCTGCTTCCATTTAAAATGAGTGACCCTGTTTCATGTTTGTCCGTCAGCAAAATATCTCATGTTCCAGTGTACAGATTTGAATGAAACTTAAAGTAACTATATTGTGTAACTCTAACCCTACCACTAACTTTTAGAGCCTTACAAAAAACAAGCTCTCTCTTACATCTCAGATCTGATCCAGGTTCTCACTCCGTCTCGCAGGTTGAGGCCATCAGGTCAGAGGTTGTTGGTGAGACCCCCCACCCATTTTAAATCTGGTGGGGGGTGTCGGTCTTTCCGAGCAGTTGGACTTTGGAGCGCACCTCCCCGGTCTATACGCAGCCTCTATTGATGCTTTTAAAAATCATCTGAAGACTTTCTTATTCAAACAGTTGTTAGAGTTTTTTGATAATAATAATTGTTTTCTTGTACTTTTTATTCATGACGAATGCATGATGTTTTAAACATTTCTTGCTTCTATTGTGAAGCACTTTGTGATGTTTCTGTCTGTGAAAGGTGCTACACATAGATAAACTTGTTTCAAATTTTAGCATGCAAGAGCATTGGTAAGATGCATTCTGACAAATAGGTTTATTGAAATGACTATTATTGGAAAACACTCCTTATTTTAGACATTTTAGGCTATTTTTGTTCTGCCGAATGTTTACTGGTGGCAAGAAAACACCTAAAATACATATAAATGTTTCATTATTATTATTATTTATTTATTTATTTATTTTTTACAAATTACAATTTAAGTTTAGCTTTATTTGCACCATAAAAATACAGATTAAAATTCAAGAAAAAAGTAACAGTGCAGGAATAGGCAAAAATCCAGTGGGCTTATATATAAAGCCCCCACCTACAGTAAATATTATATAAAAAAAATCAAAAATAAAATAAAATAAACAATCCAACAATGCAATCCTTATTAAGATGATCATAAATATTTAAAACATAATCATTTAAAGAAAAGAAAAAACAAACGTGCCTCATTTTCTATAATCCAATGAAAATTTTCTGATTGCATCTCAAGCACACGTTCTTAAAATTATTATTTTTGTTTGTTATTGCTTATAATTTCACCTTATTGGAATAAAAAGTCTCCCTTCACAAAAGCACGAGTAAAAGACACCAGGAACTATCTTTTCTTACCTGCAGTGTACAGTGATTGGTCCGTCCTGCCCAAACTGTTCCTTGGTTTTGTGCACTTGTCCAATGAAATCAATGAAGCCCTCTCCAGTTTTTGGCACTCCCTGCTCGGGCCAGTCAGTGAACTGGAACTGGCGGATTGTTCTGGATTGTCCATCCTGAGGGGTGCAGATAAGGATTTTCAGTACATTTAAGTGGACGAGCCCGTGAGCTGATAACGCTCGGCTCTATTGGGCAGCTTTTGTGCTTCACAGATCTTTCTTTACATGGTGGAAAAAGTAGCCACACCAGAGGCTTCCAGTTTGGAGTCGGTGGATGTATTAAAAAAAACAAACAAACAGCCGGAGCATCTAATCATCTAATTTAAAACCTGGGAAGCAACACAGACCTGGACGGGAGACAAAACCATTAGGACTGCAGCTCTTATGTAACCACGGATGAGAAATTCTCAACAAGGAGAATTTATTTGACAGAACTCTGCTGTCAGAATGTACAAATTGAATTTATTTGGCTACTTGGACAGTACTTCTAAACGTATCACCCAGTGGAGAAAAAAAAATCAGTCTGATTTGTTTAATATTTATCCAAACCAAGAGGCCGACTGAGTCTCATTTCACTCCCTTTTCCATTTAGGCTGCCCCGTGTGCACACAACCATGAAAGCACAAAGCAAAAACACACATTTAAGACGCAAAAAAAGTGCCGAGCAGAACATATACACAGAGACACACACGGATAGAAAAGAAAGAGTGGATGTGGGATTAGAGTGTTGCAGTGGTGGGAGCCTTCAGATGACACTGAAGTATATTTATAGCTCATTGAAACTACTGCATCACAGGGAGTTCCAGTACCGGCCCCTCAGGGACCGAAGGCTCTGCTTTTCATGTATTTTCACAGCAAGCTCCAAACACACATCCACAAGCCAACACACACACACACACACACACACACACACCCACACAACCCATAAAGCAAGCATCCTGTTTCTAAATCTAGGTAAACATGTTTGATGGTGCATTCACTGGATGTCAGGCTGTCAGGGAAAATAACACGGGACACGTTCTGATCACCCCCACCTTGAAATTACAGTCTGTAATTTTTAACACTTAGCGCAACCGTCGGGATTCGTACGAAACCTAAAATTAAGTTGGATTTGGGCTGGAGAAAGGTGCATTTCTGTTCACAACTCACACTTTTAGAGAGCGAGCGAGCTTCAAAACACACAGAGAGAAGCAAACCTGCAGATTCTCTCACACTGAGCGAGCAGACATACCCTGGCATCTGTGACTTTGAACTCTCTGAGGATGTACTGAGGCATGTTGTATTCAGCCATTGGATCCACCACAAAGTACTGGTACCTGGCTGAACGCTCTGCTGGCCAGTACTGATGGCACTTCTCCTGCAAGAGTGAAAGGAGGTAGACATTTTCAGAAAAATCTTTTTTTTTTAAACACAAACACATTCAGAAAGGGAAAAAAAAAACTACCTAATTACTGCCTGGTGTCCAATTGAAAGATTTATATTTTACAGTTACTGTACGTCATTTTTCATTTTCAGCGATGAAAAGGAATCCCAGCAGACTAATCTAACACAGATTCATCTTGGGTGACAAAATATTTACTACAACGATCATGTAGAAGTTGAACTTGTTTTTCTTTCACTAACTGTGGCTGTGAGGGAATAAAAGCTTTAATTTGGAGCTGAGGAAGGTCAGAACCACCAATTTCACCAGCAAAAATAGCTGAAGGATTTTTTTATATCAAAATGAGTGAGTTTGTTCCTAAATAATTGAAGGATGGGCCTATTTGCCCTTTTTAACGAACAATTCATGTCTGTACCTTAAACAGAAGATGTTGGAACAAAATATTGAAAATGGGAAAACAAATAAAGGTTAATGGGAAGAAACGTCAGACATAATTTTTTTGCAGCAATGTTGCGTACTGTCTTGAAAGACAAGGTTTTAAACAACGATCTTGCAGGATCTGGTAGCCCTCAGTGTATGTGTTTGGGATAATTACCATCTACCACCACACCATGTTTTAGCTCATTATCTGTAAAACTGAATGTTTTCAATTGGTCTAAAACCAAAAGGTAATTAGTTACTGAAGTACGTTCAAGTATTACTCTCAGAGTATCTGGTTCTGCAGTTTTTGTGTCATTTCAAAAACGTATACATCAAAACGTTCAGCTTCTTCGGGACATTCCAACTATGGCTTTAGGTATTTCAGCAACTTGTACTTTTTGAGATGTTTAGCCTTTTTTTTTTGACATTTTTGTTTCTAATTAAAATTAACTGGAGCTCAATTTAACATCCAAAACACTATTTCAAATGTTTAAAAACTTTGACTGCACTTATCAGCTTTTGTTCTGGTTCTTTTTGACATCTTTGTGCTAACTTCAGCTTATTTTTTGCTAAATGTAACCTTTTTTCTGGCTTTTCAGCTATCATTTGGCTATTTTCAGTTATTTTCCTAATTTAACTTTTTAATACTTCTAACCACTTTTTTCCCTGGCTAATTTAAGCTGTTCATGCTTCTTTCAGCTGTTTTCTGCAATTGAAGCTGATTTTTAGTTATTTCAGTTAATTTCAGTATTTCAGCTATTTTTTGTGATAATTTCAGCTTTTGACTGCTTAACTCATCAAACATGCTCTTTCTGATTTTTTGTGATAGATTCAGCTTTTCCAGCTACCCATTAGCTGCTTTTTTTTTCAGCATTAGGCATTTACGCTGCATTTTCGCAAAAAATACTAATTCTTTATATGGAATTTGTTCTCTGGTTCATGAGATATTTTGCTAACAAACAAAAATAATAACTATTAATAGAATAAGAATAACTATGGAAATTATTAAAGATTAAGTTCCTAATTTTGGAACTGCGTCCAACAAAACTGATCAAAACTTTGTCAACTTTAAATTTCAGAGGGAGCCAAATAAGGGAATAAAGTCAAAGAAGAAAGTGAAGTAAAGACGGTGACGGATCCCGTTCCATATAAAGTCTAATGTATTCAGACAGAGTGGGAGTTATCAGTAGGCCTGGAACGCTCCCAGTTATTGACAAATCTGACACGGAGGCGTCCTGGTTTGAACCCAGGTGCATTCCAGCCATGGCGATAAGGGGGTAAACTTTCAGCTGCAGTTATTGTTCAGGTTTGGAATGAATTAATATTTGAGCAGCGTGGCGCGGCGGCTCAGCTGAACCGAGCCGTCCTATAAAGATTATTATCATCCCCCGAAACGCTTCAATGACCTTACAGGCGCAGTATCTGTTGTGTTCAGCGTGCGATTTTGTATTACCCGGCCCATCTCTCGTAGCTTGGTGAGCATGACAACAATGGTGGAGTTGTGCTCCCACAGCATCCTCCAGAAATCCTCGGTGGTCTCGGCAAGCGGGCCCTGTGTGGCCAGGTAAGCCTTTTGCTGTCTGAAAGTAAAAAATCAACAAAGGAAGAGGGACAGATCAACATTCCTTCTGAGCTTTACAGCACTCTCATAGTGGATATGGATGATATTACAAAGACATAAGAGAATTTTAAGTTAGAAAATGATGCTATTTAAATGCAAACTGATGCTTGTTAAACCCCTAAATATATTCTACAAATGTCTTCTTGTAAGTAGGAAATTAATTCAGAAATATGGCGGAGGGGATGAAAACCTTTGGGAATTTTTCAAACACTGAAATTTACAAGAAAAACAAAATCATCCTTTCAACAGATTTTCAAAAAGGCATGCAGTTCTGGCAAGCAAACATCATTTCACTTTATAATGCTGGATTAACTCCATCATATTACATGAGCACCACACCTGCACAGGATGACCCTTTTTAGATTGCACTTGCCAATCAGATTTAGCTGTAATGAGTTTTTTTTAACCACAAATTTCCCCAAAAAAACAAAACATTCTGTTTTGAATCATGCCTCAACAAAACAGCAGATAGACGTTGTTGATTTTGTAATAGTCCGTTTTTCTTCAAACTCTTCAAAACACTTTCCTGTAGCATATCCTGACAAAAACATATGTAACATTGATTATTGCAATTTAAATTTTATGATTTATGGCCGCCATCGTGAATGAGTTTGGCTCCAAAAGTAAATTAGTTGTAAACATTAAGCCAGTTATCACTTTCTGAAAGTTTCATTAAAACCCGTTCAGTGAGTCATGAGATATTTTACTAACAGAAAAATAAAAAACACTATATTACTATTGGCTTTGCCTTCAGCAGCGTCATCAAAAATGTTTTTACTATAATAAAAGTCAACAAGAATAAAAAAAAAATAAAGTCTGTGTATATTACGGTCATTTCTTGTATATTTAATACACAGTAAATAATTCATGCTCTTTTTTTCCTTCTTGGGCAACTAAAGCTTCTATAGATCTTTTCCTTCCACTCTGAAACACAATACAGAACGAGAGAGGGGCAGCACTTGATACGCTCACTAAACTAGAGATGAGCTCATCCACTGAGCAGTGCTGGTGTCCGATGTGACTTTGGTCAGGCTGAGCAGTTCTCCCGTCTAACAGCAGGTGGCAGAAGCGTCACGATCACCAGGGAGGGAATTGAGTGATCCGACGCACAAACGCATGCATAATTGCATCCAGAGACAGACTCACATGTGTGCAGCACATGGAAACTTGCATGCAGGTGCAAGGATTCGTTTGGACAGCGGTTTTGCGTGCACGTTCAGATGTGCTGCTGCTGGCGTGCGCGCACTGTCAGACACTGAGCCGTGGCTGAGCAGCTAATGAAGGTGCTGCAGGCAAAGCACTAATATGGAACCGGGAGATTAGAATATGCTCAGGGGCCTCGCTCATACAAATACAGAAACAACAGGATGATGGAGAGGGGATGGAGGCGTGCAAGTGGTGCATCAAATTAAAATAAGACCAAAACGGAAGCAGGAAAAAAAAAAGAGCAAACTGTGGAAAGGACGTCTACAAAGAGAGGATGTGAAGAGGAGATGAAAAGAGCGAGCAGAGCTCTTTCCAACTGGCCATCAGAGTGTAATGTAGGACGAAAGGAGAAAAGAGAAGAAGAAAACTAAAATCCAACGGCAGGAAAGGAAACGAGAGGGAGGCGGGAAAAGCAATCCGAAAGGATGAGTGCTAAATTTCAAACTGATGGGGTGGACTCCGTTCACCTCCCCGCAAAAAACCTCCCCGAGCCAAAATAAAAAAACAATTCCAAGCGTATCAAACAATACCGAGTTCCCTGCACTCTGCGTCCCGACGAGCGCGCTGCCAAACGGCACCAAGCGCTCCCTGCCTCATCCCACATGACTGCAGCGCTCGAGGACATGGTGTTTCATTTCAACCTCATTACAATGTTAAAACTCCAGCCCGCGTCGGAGCACATCCAGAGCCCGCGCCCTTCCAGCAGAGCTGGAATCGATGCTTCGCCTCTCATTAGCTTAGCATATTATTGGCTTTTCTTGAAGGCGCTCGGGCGGAGGGCACTGGAGGCCCCTGTTTAGTTTTTATTTATGCTCGCGATTTAAAAGCAGCTTAATTACACAGTGCTGCTGGTGCACACAACAGGTCCCTGCCCGCATGTCTGTCTCTGCTATGATGTTTGGACGGGAAATTAGGACACGGGGTGAGGAGGAGAAGGGGATAGGAGGAAAGTGCAACGGGGGACAGACTGAGGAGGGGAGCATGGAAAGAAATTAGGGAGGGAAAAAAGGGAGAAAGTTAAGAAGAGGAGACAGAAAACACTTTATTACAGCAATCTTGCTCCAATTACACTATTTACACAGCAACAAAGGAGGGTGGGCCTCTGCGGAGCACCTTCTCATTAACGACAGCGCTGGAGAGAGAGTGGGGGAGTTGGGAGGTGGGAGTTGGGAGGTGGGAGCGGAGGTGTCATCTCTGTCACGGCCCAATCCCAAGCAGAACCCCGTATGGATTAAATGGCATTTCACGCTCACTAAATCCATCCCTTCACTTAAAGCACAGAAGAGTCAGCCCTGTCTGTCACTCCCTGCACTTATAGAGATATAAAACAGAGAGCTGCCTTTTCATCTTCTTCCCTCTAGGAAGCAATTTGGGCTCTCAGAGCCCGCCAGGACGCGCCGTACCTTCAATATAGACGCAGCGCTGGCTCGACGGACGAAAGCCCCGCCGACTGAGCTGGGCAGCCATTTTTTCGTGACAGGACGATGCCCACTGAAGCATCAGCTTTAATTCCCTCCCGCACAGCTTCATGTGTGATTATTTCTGTGCGGTTCTCACATAGGGCTGCGTGGTATATGTGGTAGACGGTAGAAATGGTATGAAGTTGGCCTACAGTAGAAATTTACCCTCTACCGTCCTATCGTCATCGCACCTGTGTGAACAGGGCTGTGAGTGCAGAGACAACTGAGCAGGAGGAGTTCGAAATAAAACTAAGAAATTATAGCATTTTAAAACGCGTAGAGAGAATAAATCTTCAAAATTTCCCCCTCCCGCTGTAGAAAAGTTAAGTCGGGATCATTTCCTTCCTCCCGCCCTCCACGTCGCGCAGAGCAAAGCTTTGATAACAACTGTTTTTTCACATCCAAGTTGTCGGACAAAAAACTTGTTTTTTATGTATTGTTACCCACAGAGATGATAAAAAAAGACGTGGACATTCATTCAGTCACAAATCCATCTTGCTAATGTAAAGTCGGCTTCTGCTCTGATGATGAAGATGAGCGCGCAGCAGAGCAGCAGCTGATAAGTTCAACAGGCAGAAGCTCATTGTATGACAGGCTGATATTAAAGTAAAAATGCTGGGTTTGATTAAGATTAATTTTCTGAAAAAAAAAGCTCTAAAAATTACATTATCTTAACTTTTTATGATAGTTTTCTACTGTGATATATATTGTTACCGTGAAGAGATTCAATTTCTACCGTGATATGAATTTGAGGTCATACCGCCCAGCCCTATTCTCAAACCTCGACCCAATCTTTGTTCAATTCGACGCAGTTTGGAAAAAAGGCATCGGGAACGTGGTTCAGTTCGGACTACGCTGGATCTGTGCTTCAGGACTGCGAAATTTTAATTAATCAGTGACTGTCGAGTTTAGAGGGCAGACTCTCAGATTTAATTGAAGGATGTTTACATCCACTTCGCATGATCCATACTGAACTGAAAACCCTTTTATGCAGAGCTTTTCAGATTTGGAGGCACAGCCTAATTTGAAACATTAACATAAAAATGACCATCCCAACCTGGGGGCTGCCAGAGATCACAGTAGGTGCACGAGGTCTTCTCTCAAACAAGCCTGTCAAAATTAGATGTCACAGTCCAGAGGCTCTCTCTCTCTCTTTGTGTGTATATGTGTGTATTTGCACACACATATACACAGCATACAAATAGGATTCAGGGAAAAAAAAGTGTCTCTTTCATCACTGATATTGATGTGTATTTATCAAAGTAACGATGAGAGATGAATCTCCACGTTCCCAACCTCAAGGATTGCCACAAACATCCCAAATGACATATTATCTCTAAACGGATGTTCCTAACAACTACCTTGATCTTTGCATCAAAGTAGTTGTTAGGGAAAGTTTTGTAGACTTTCTTTCTGACATGCATTCACATGTGTAGGCCTGGCAGCAAGGAGAGGGAGTGCAGCGTTTTTGTTGATACATGAAAGTGGGTGAGGATGTGGGTCAGAGCTTCCAGGAAAAAAAAAAAACCTGTTGGGAACCAGCGAACTTAGGTCACCGTGTTTAATATTTGGTTGCGAGCAGGACTGAGTCAATGTCTGCCTGAAGTTTCTGACTCATCAACAGACTCCTCGTTCTTTGTGATTCACTTTCAGGCCTGAACAGCGCCTATCATCCGTTTACTGTTGCAACTTGTTTGTGGACGCTCACATCCAACCATGAAAGAGAAACGTGGTGCTTTCTATCCTTTGTAAATGCAGACGAACATGGTGAAAAAGAGACAACATTTCTGTGAAATGTTGTCTCGTTTATAGGTTATATTTGGAGCTACAGAGTCATTATCGATTACAAGAAAAGCAGGAAGTTCCCCTGTAGTTAAATGTTTGCCAAGCACTGAAGCATCTGAATTCACACATTACCTGAACAATTACTCCCATTTCCCAACTTTCAGGTTTGTATTAGATTTGAATGAAAATCAGTCAAATCACACTCGGTTCTTAACCCTCCACCTTTAAATTCAGCCCAGATCTAAAACTTGAAGGCCTTTGCTGACCTGTAGCCATCGATGCAGCTGGCGTTGATGTAGTCCGAGCCCTCGACGCCACGGATGGGCTGCAGGCAGACCCGGGTGGACTCAAAAGGCATGATGTTGACGAGGCGGTTCTTAAACTTGTTGCAGGGTAAGTTGGCGCTGATGAACCGTGACGTGTGAGCTTTGGAGTTGGCCAGTCTCTGTTTAATAAGAAACGGGAAGAAGTCAGACAGGGATAGAGACAGGAAGAAAAACAAAGACAGACCTGAAAAAAAAAATAGCTTGAAACTTTTTTTTGTCTGACTAGTCCAGTTTCAGACTTAGCACTTCATATCATGACAGGGATGGACAGGTAGCTCTTTTTATCATTTAAGTTGCCCATCCCTGTATCATGACTATTATCAGTGGGACCTATTGTATTTTTATTATCAGAATGTCAAAAATATCTCTAAAAAGTCTTCAACTGATCCAAAATGCTGCTGCCAGACTTCTGATAAGAGTTAGTTTTTGTTGTTGTTTTTTTCTTTACATAGTGCCCTGAGATAACTTTTGTTGTAAACTGGGATATATATATATTAGGGGTGCAACAATACAGAAGATTCACGATTCGGTTCGATACTTTAGTCTCACGGTTCGATATTTTTTTCGATACACAAGAGAAATTTCCATGGCCTTCATAACTTGTAATTTGTTTAAATTAATTATGAACATTTGTTTAACCTCAAAAGTACAGTTTTTTTAATTAAATGTTGCTGAAACAGCAAGTTTCTTGGTGGATCTGTGCTCGACAATGCAGCCTAGGTGGAGTAGTCGAACACAGATCTACAGAGCATTAAACACAGCACAGCTTCAGAAGACAAGCTGATAAAGTAAATTTTATAAATCTGTATTGTTTGATACATAGTGTGTATTGAACGGTTCGATACGGGTACATGTATTGTTGCACCCCTAATATATA